TTTTGAAGTCGTTCATAAAAGCAAACGTAACATATACAAAACATTTTTACAAATAAAATAATGTGATATTGAAGTATATGTATTAAGCTATTTTTTTTCTAAATTTTAACCAAACATTAGTTAGTACTTAGTAGTATATATATATATATATATATATATATATTATATAATTTATAAAAAATAATTTATAAAAAATAAAAACAGTTTGAATACAAATTAATTGTTTCAAATCAAACAAAATCATATTTAAATTGTTACTACATTACATATTTATAGAACTGTACATATTGAATTGTGTTTAACAGTTATTTATTATTATATAATGAATAAAAACAAAATCCTAAATCCCTTAGATTTTTTTTTTCTAAATTTTAATTGATATTAGTTATTATGATATAATATAAGTTACCAAAAAATGAGTACAGATTGAATACAAATGAATTGTTATAATATAAATCAAATAAAATCATATTTAAATTGTTACTAACATTACATATTTAAAAAACTGTACATATTAAATTGTGTTTAACAGTTATTTATTATTATATAATGAATAAAAACAAAATCCTAAGTCCCTTAGCTTTTTTTTTTCTAAATTTTAATAGATATTAGTGATTATGAATATAATATAAGTTACCAAAAAATGAAAACAGTTTGAATACAAATTAATTGTTACAAATCAAACAAAATCATATTTAAATTGTTACTACATTACATATTTAAAAAACTGTACATATTGAATTGTGTTTAACAGTTATTTATTATTATATAATGAATAAAAACAAAATCCTAAGTCCCTTAGCTTTTTTTTTTCTAAATTTTAATAGATATTAGTGATTAGTGATTATGAATATAATATAAGTTACCAAAAAATGAATACAGATTGAATACAAATGAATTGTTATAATAAATCAAATAAAATCATATTTAAATTGTTATAGATTGAATTAATTGTGTTGAAAAGTATCTTAGTTATTTTTTTTTTAAATTTAACCAAACGTTTGACATTAGTTACGAATACACAGTCAAGTCTAATCGCATCCAGAGAGACCACGTGGAGGTTGTCAAACTTTCTCTCCGCACAGAGTCACAAAGACACCGTGGGGGGTTCACAAAGGACCCCGGGGTGTCACAAAGGCACCGTGGGGGGGGGGGTCACAAAGGCCCCGGGGGAGGTTACATAGATCCCTCGGGTGAACATTGTATAATTACATTAACTATATAACTACCCGTAATCGCATCAGAGAACTTCTGCGTACACGATATTCTTGGTGACGAATCGACCATTTCCATCGCAGTACATGCCGACTATGACGAATTGCGCATCACTTACTCTTGAAAATGCAACATACAGCTGCCCGTGGCTGAAGACGGGAGACGGCAGGAGCAAACCGACTCGGTCAAACGTTTGACCCTGAGATTTGTTGATTGTCATGGCAAAGGACAACCGTACTGGGAATTGAATCCGCCTCATTCGAAAAGGCAAATTGTCTTCCTCACCGGAAATCATCGAAGTGGCGGGTAAAATTATGTAGTCCTGCGCGTCATCGGCGCCGGACAACCTCCTCGCCTTGAAGTTGTGTGGCCGCAGTTCGGTGACCACCAACCTCGTCCCGTTGCACAGTTGTCGGTTCGTATCAATGTTTCTCAGCAACATGACGATCGAACCGACCTTGAGCGTCAACTTGTGTGGCGGTAGCCCGTTCGGTTGCAGAGCGTTGAGGAACTCTGTCTGGTAGTTTGCCGCTTCGTCGGTGTCGTCGATCACCACTGTGTCTATGGAGGAGTACGTCATTAGGGCGCCCGTGACGCGTCGTAGCACTGTGGAATTTATTTGGTGGCATTCCTCGTTGCGGGGACACAGTATGATTCTCCGAGCGAACTCGTCGACGTTGGCCAACGACATTTGCTGCGGATAGACAAAATCGGTCAAATCCACAACGTCGCAAACCAGTTGCGGTGGGATTTCGACAGTGTCCGGAATACCGTCGACCGACGGCAGTTGACCGTTACCGAGCTGAAGTAGCCAAGCAGCGAAGTCGGCGTCGTTGTTGGCGCGCATGTTCCTCGTCAGCCGAAACTGTTGAAAGTCTCTCCACAATGAGTGCTGTTTGATAGATGACATGACGATGGAGCTCCTGTTCCCCCGGCGAACGACGGGCAATATCTGCCTGAAGTCGCCAGCTAACAGTATTGGTTTACCACCAAACGGTAGCGCCGATCCCATGATGTCCTTGAGCAAGCGATCGACCACCGTGAATTGTATGCCCGGGGACATGGGCGCTTCGTCCCAGACAATCAGCGAAGCTTCGCGTATCCTTTGCGCGCGCAAAGACTGCAACTTGATGCTCGAAGTAGACTGTTCGGTCAGCGTTCCCAATGGCAATCCGAAAGTCGAGTGCACAGTCATGCCGCCCTCCATGAGGGATGCGGCGATCCCGGTGTATGCCACGCTCAACACAGTTCGTTGTCTGTTACGAAGCGACGATATTAGGCATCCGTATAGCGTCGTTTTTCCCGTGCCTCCTGGCCCGTCGACGTAGAACATTTTCTGGACGTTGCGGTTGTCTTCGACGGCCGTCATCACTCTATCGTAGACCGTTCGCTGTTCGTCGTTCAAGTCGCGCAATCGTTGTTGCCAGACAACGGCCGCGTCTATTGCACCAATCATTAGGTCGTCTTGATCCGGTCCCAGTAGATCTTCGTCTGGATTGGGTAGATCGTAGTCGTCGAGCGATTTTCCGCGTGCACGAAGTAGGTCTCCGATTGCTTTGAGACACGCCGCCCTCGCGCGGTCGACGTTTTAAAAGCGCCGAATGAAGTCTTCCATCATGTTGACTTCGAACCGCCGGTAGAGATCCGCGGGGTCCGCGGGATGGCAAAACAATAGTATCGTGACGTAAAGATAACGCAGTTGAGTGGCTGTGTCCAACGCCGATGATTCTGTCATACACGCCCGCCACCCTTCGTCGTCTTCCAACAATCCCAACGCAATGGCGGCGGCCGCGTATGTGGTATGCACGACCCCGTTTACAGTCTTCAAGTCTCGGAAAGACCGTGGGCCTCTTCTGTGCAAGAGTAGCAGTCGTAGATGAAAACGGTCTCTATCCAGTGGGTTTACGACGTACATCCGAGACAACGTCTCGCTACGTGCCTGTCTTTGCCGCAGTCTCCACTCTCTTGACGATGCTTGCCAAGTGTAATGTATCGGTATCTCGTGGTACAGATACTGTCTTGCATCAACGTTTCTCTCGTTAAGCGCGAAGAACGCCGTGAGTTTTGTTCGAGGTAGGGCGTTGTTTTGTACCTCCTGTAGTTCTCGTCCACGCGCAAAGTACACGTTGTGGTAGTTTTCTAGGTGAACTGGAAGTCTAACTACCGTGTGACTGATGTCGTGTAGTTTATACGCAAACAACCTCCAGACGGCTTCTGGTGGGCTGACGTACCTCGAATTTATGTAACTGAAAACAACATTTATGTATGTATGTATCAAAAATATTCAGAACAGAAAGTTGTACAAAAAAAAGTCAATAGTTATTTAAAATCTCAATATTACATATATATAAAATATTGTCATGAGTAAAATGTCGTAATACTATTGCTTGTGATGTATGTATAATAAATGTAATTATGTCAAAGTATAGCGTAACACTATTTCAGTGTTGATAAAGAAGAATACGATAAATGTTGTTTTTGTTGATCTGGTTCAATATAACAGTATATATATATATATATTAATATTTTTACAATTTGTAACCAATAGAATACATAAAAAAAAAGGAAATTGAAATAAATGTATTGTGGTAGGTACCACCTATAGGTTAACTCAAATGTAGTTAAGGTTCACAAAAATAATACATAATACAGAACTTTTAAAATAGTCAATCTATTCATAATAATATAATATGTAAAATCAAAAGTGGTTATAGTTGTACATACATATTATAATTTCTTAAAATAATTTTTTTTGCATTTCAATTATATTCTATGTACATAACTTAAGACATTAAGACTTAGTGTAATAAGTGTTAAATGGCTTTCAAAAATCTAATCTATTTCTTTAATTTATAAATGTTAATTAATAATATGATGTAATTAATTTCTTAATAATATATACTGTTATTAGTGGACAACTACCATAGTGTTAAGTCATTGTAGCGTGAACAGAGAACTGCTTGTCAAATTAAACAAATGAATAACATACATATGAAATTTCTAATTTACAAAGTACCGGTTTCAATAATTTATATTATGCTGAACGGCTTTCCTAAAATGTCTTTACTATTAAGATGATTGAGTATTATATGTAGTTAAGCGAATTGAACTAATGAAAAATAATTGAAAATGAATTCAGTTATTGCTTGAGGAGTACATATTATAATATGAATGATGATTGTTATACACAGTTGTAAACTGGCCATGCTGATACTACTGTAGTGGAATTTCAATTAATAGAAATCATGCATTAAGTGGGCAGTTGTTTTAAGCTAATACTCTAAACAATTTTTTTTTGTAACAATAATATAAAGTTATATATTATATATTCAACAACAACTCTAAATTATTGAACACCAGTAGTTTATACTCTGCTGTTCTATGTTGTGTTTATGTACAATAATTTAAGTTTACATAAGTTGCAAGTGCAATGTACGTTAGGTTAGGAGGTCACAGTGAGGCCAGAAAACCAAAAAGAAGTTTACAAATGCAATAGTTGAAAGAATATAATGTGTTAACTTATTGAAAAATGCATTTTGTTAACATACCTGTCTATTTCATTTCCGTTCCATAATTCCATGGTCGCAGCATCGTGCCCTTTATATACGTACTTATACAAATACTGAACACTCTTCACAGTAGAGCATACCTCTACGTTAATGTGTGCATCGTATTTTGCTAACAGGTACGGATTGTAAGGCACGACAAACTCGTTGCTGACCTGTTGACCTCTTACCCTGGCCACAGGTCCGTTGTTTGGCCGACGGTACTTTGGGTAACCGCCGTCAGAATTGTATACAGTCTCTTCGCTGTACTTTTTTGGAAACTTCTTTGAACAACTGTCGGTCCCTCAGTCCCCCTTGATCCTCCAGATGCGCTTCTATTCTTCCCTTAATTATCCGCTCGAAAAACTTGCCCGCAGTATTGAGTAGACATATTGGTCTGTATGAAGAAGGTTGGTCTAGTGGCCTATTGCCTTTTGGCAGCAAGACCAGCGCTGCCTCTTTCCATACTGCCGGGAAAATACCATCGCCCAAGCACAAATTAAATGTCTTGCAGAGGATGTCAGGTCGGATTTCGGCAATTCTCTTGATGACTAGATCTGGTACACCATCCGGTCCTGGAGCTTTGCCTATCGGGACTTTCTTCGCCTGTCCTATGATCTCCGCCTCCGTTACCTCCAGGAATACATATTTGTCCGCCGCAACTGGCCACTCTACGGCAGCGATGTTCGGGAACATTGTGTCCACTATACTCTCCAGTCGACCCGGTAGGTTTATCCCTGGAATTGGTTTCCGGCCTATCAGTTTTTTTGTCACCAATTTGTACGGTAATCCCCATGGGTCCGTGTCGACTTGTTTGCATAGGTTGCTCCAACAGTTCTTCTTACTCTTATTAATCGCGTGTTTAAGCTCTCTCCTTGCCTCCCTATATTCAATGTTTTCCACTCCATTCGCATAAGGCTCTCCTCTGAGTCTGCCTCTTTTTATATGCCTGCGGGTTGAGTGGCATTTCCTGCGCAGCTCATCAATTTCCGTCGTCCACCAATAGGCCGGTTTCTTTCCTCCCTTGTAATTTCCCTTAGGCATACTCTTGTTGAAGGCTTCCTCCACAATTGACTTCAGTCTGTGTGTTGCAGCTGCGGCATTGGCAGAGTCCTCGAACTCAACCGATGACACAAACGTCCGTAGTTTGGATAGGTCGAACCTCTTCCAGCTCCACCTTTTGCCTGTTTGCTGACCTCCCTGGTTTCCTTGTTCCTGTCTGATGCTGAATGTAATGTACCTGTGGAGGCTCAGCGATTCTTCTTCCAAGACTGTCCAATCGCACACCTTATGTATCAGCACTGAGGCGGCGAAAGTAACATCGATGTGAGTACCAGAGTTTCCTCTCACAAAGGTCGGCGATCCTCCCTGGTTGCAGGCTATCAGATACAATGACGCCATGAGGTCCGCCAGCCGGTGTCCTCTTGCGTCCTCGATGGGACTGCCCCAAGTTCCTGACTTGGAATTGAAGTCGCCCACCACTACGGCTGGAAGATCAGATTCTCTAATGCTTGCCTCAAGTCTCTCTAGAAAGTCCTCAAACTCTGTGAGGGCTACATTAGGGGAGCAATAGCAACTGTATAGTCTGATCTGGTTTGCTACAATCCATCTGAATCCTTGCAGGTGAGGTGCTATTCTGTCTACTAAAAGATTTCCCATTGCTACTATTGCTGCCCGGCCGCTCCTCGCATCGTCATACCATCCGTCCTTCTAGTCCTTGTTCCGGTATTGTTCGCTTATTGCGACGATATCAATTCCCTTGTCATTCGCCGTTGCCATTGCCAGGTCTTGCGCCAGCCTTCCTACCCCAACGTTGATCTGTAAAATACTGATCATTGCGTTGCGTCCGTATTTGCTAATTGCACCGCCTTGTTTTCCCTGATTTTATTACGGGACTCTTCCTGGAGGATCCTAGAGAAAGCGTCTTTTTTGTCCACAGCAGCTGTACAGTTGGCAGCTTGGTGTCCTGACTCTCCGCACTCCCTACAGCATTCTGTCCTATCCGTACCTTTGCATGCATCTCGGGTATGCCCGCGTGTAAGACACTTTGGACACCTGCCCCTGCCACGATCTTCCCAAAGGCGAAGTCGGCAGTTAACATACCCGACCCTGAGCCTCCCGACTGCCAGGGCCTTGCTCGCAATGTGGGCTAGGAGTGAGATTATTACCCACTTTTGCCCTTTGCTGAGGTCCCTTGTCGATATCACCCTGACCTCCTCGGACTCTGCGTTGGTTACGCCGCAGATTGCCTCGACAATCTCGGACGGCTCAGCCTGATCGTCAAGATCCTGTACGACAACCTTTTAAAAATGAGCCAGTTCCCTGGCCGCTGTCTTGTCCCCCATCGCCGTGCCTATCGCATCGACGATTTTTCCCGACGTTTGATTCTTGGCTTTGAGCCGTATAAGTAGGTCACCGTCTCTGGTTTTGCTCAGTCCTAGCTTGGACGTCCCCACTGCTCTTGATCGTCTTGAGCGCCTCTGAATAGGAACCATCCTTAACTCAGACTAGAATGGCCGGGGGACGTGCTCCCCGTCGATGGCTCGACACCTGCTCGGTTGGTTTGACATCTGTTTTGTCGCCTTTGTCCTTCTTGCCCTTGCTCCTAACCACGTCCGTCCAGGCTCTCTGTTTTCCCCGCTCTGCCATCTCATCCATCTTTGCGCTCTGCGCTTCGAGCAGCGTCTGCAGGTTGGCGACTGCTGCCTTGACTTCCGCGCTGTCGGTGCCGCCAGGTCTGTCGCAGTCGCCGGCCTCATTTTCTCCGGATGACCTTGTGCCTACACTTGAGATGGCGTCTAATACTATCCTATTTGACTCCTCAACCACCGCACTTAGGTTCTGGGTAAGAATAGTCACCACTTGCTTAGCGTCCACCACCAAAAGCTTACTGCCGACTACCTGGCTCCTTACCGCTTTCATCTCGGCGTTATTGCGCTCGATAGAGCTTATGATGCTGATTACCAGGTCAATGCTCTCCTTGAGCCCCTTCACCTGCGTTCGCTTAGCCATCTCCTTCAGAGACTCTAAAATAAAAGGTTTGTCAATATGAATACTAAATATTCAATATAAAGTTGCTCATGTAATAATAGTTATAAAAGAATATATTATATTTATTCTATAAACTATAAACATTCTATAAAATTTACATATTTTGAATTTAAACAATGAAAAAGTACAAAATATAGGTACCGTACCTATACTATATTGTAACTTGTAAGTATGTAGTATATGTAGTAGGTACTGGTAAGTTTTAATAGTATCATAAAAAAAAACATTGATAAAAAAAAATTACTTTATAGTAAACATTAAACAACTTTAAGGTTTAATATCCAATATGTAATGCATTTTAAATGTTTAGATAATAATGAAGTCAATGTCAATTTGTATGATCAAAATCGTATCGATGAAAATCAAATTGTAAATTAAGATTATGAAAATACATGGATTTCTTGTACTGGTCATTTAGAATCAATATGTAATGAATTTAAAAAATGATCAGACATTTTAAATGATATAAAAAATTCAAAATTTCCAAACCCAGTTATCTTTTTAATCAATAGTACACATTGTATAGTGTATACTATAAATATATAACTAGTAATAATAATGAGATTACTAATTATATAAGTAATGCAACTACAACATTAGAAAAATTGACTGCAAGCAATGAGTCTGGCAATACTGACATAAGTACTACTGATGGATTTGTTGAGCATGATCCAGGGAACCGTATTTCTATTAAAACATCGTTGCAACGACAATTTTTAATTTCAATGGGTCCACATCAACCGAAATTGACTAAATATACTAGACATTAATATTTCAACAAATAAGCAACATCACTTTACTTCTAAATGGTTTAATGAATTCCCTATGCTGGAGTATAGTATAGCTACTGATTCTGTGTTTTGTTTTGTATGCTCACTATTTAAAAAAAAAAAAAAATGATATTAATGTTTGGGTAACTGGTGGTGTAAAACAATGGCATAAAATGAAAAGTCGAGGAAACAATATCAAAGGTAAATTGGCTCAACATTGTTCATCTGCATCTCATAAATTAGCTATGATGAATTATTGTGCATTTATAAGTAGGTCAAACCGTGTTAATTTTATTTTGAATAAATCTTCTCGACAATTAGCAATACGTAAAAAATGAACAAGAATTTAATTGACAAGCAGTAGGAATGTTGGTCGATGTAGCTCGTACATTAACAAGACAAGGTTTAGCTTTTCGCTAAAAAAATTTAATGAAAAATAAAATGAGACCCAAAATAGTTTTATTGCTTTCCCGACATAATCATTAATCCTATTATGGAAATATGGTTAAGTGATAAATCTATGAGTCCTTATCATGTAACCTACCTTGGATCAAAGTCACAAAATGAATTTATTGAGTTACTTGCTGCAGAAAATCGTCAAACTGTCATACAAGAAATTCAGGATTCAGAATTGTTTGCAGTTATATCTAATACTACACCAGACATATCAATGAAAGATCAATTAGCTGTAGGTTTAAGATATGTTGATAAAAAAGGAACAACAAATGAGCGTTTATTGGATGTAGTTGAATCTTCGAATAAAACTGGGTATGGAACAGCAAAATCTATTTATAACTGTCTCATAAAATATGGAATTAATACTGACAATGTAGCTTTTCAATCATGACTATGCAAGTAATATGAGTGGAATCAACAAAGGAGCTCAGCATTTCTTTACTGAATTTGTAAGCCATTCAGTAACATATTGTATTCCATGCCAAGCCCATCGGATGAATACATTTTTAGAGCACAGCTGCGATGCTAGTTATATAATTGGTGATTTAATTTGTGTACTTGAAAATATTTATGTGTTCTTTTCAGCGAGTACTAAGAGATCTAAAGATTTAACAGACCGTATGAAAGAAATTGAAGGAAGTCTACAGCTTAGAAACCTCTCAAAAACCAGATGGACTGCTAGAGCAGAAAGCATAAAATCTGTATGGATATCATTAGATATAATTATTGAAACATTATAAAACATAGTTGTATCAAAAAAATTTGATAGTTTAACAAAGACAAAAGCCTTAGGTTTAAAAAAAAATTTGAAACTTTGATTTTTTTTGTTGTTAATGTTTATGAAAAACTTTATGTACAAACATAAAAATTGAACGGAACAGTTGGAAGCTTAAGAACCTAATATATGGTGATGCCTATGTATTAATTTACAGTACTATAAAATCATTGGAAGACATAAGGTCAGAAACTAAAAACATGGATAACTTAATTAATAATTCTAAAATAACTGCAGAAAGTTTTGGAATCGACCCGGAAAAGATTTTAAACGCCACCACCAAACTAGAAAGATTCCAAAGAGAATTGATAATAATGCTGACAACTGTGCAACTATTGATTTATTAACATATTAACGGAAACAATTTTATCAAGTATTGGATACTCTAATAAACTTATCAAAAGAAAATCTTAAAGTATTTGTTGCAACTCTCCATTGTATAATATTTTGCGGGTTCCATTAAAAATTGACGAAGCAACAGTTGAAAATTCAAAAAAAGGCATTTTACCTTTTCCTCCAAAGAGTCAAGGTGGTGAGCTAATGAACTTTTATGCAGTAGCTGCCGTGTGGGAAATATTATTCCATCAATGTAAAAATACTAAGACACTTATGAAAGTTATTTAAAAATCAACTGAGTTACAGAAGGTTTTACCTTGGGCAAACTGGTTATGTCGCCTTACATTTACAGCTCCAGTAATTACAGCATCCAGTGAACGAACTTTTAGCAAATCAAAGTTGATCAAACATAGTTTGCGCTCTACAATAAGTTCAGATCGTTTAAACTCATTAATTATTTTAAATTGCGAATAAGACTTAACTGACACAACCGCAGTTCGTGCTCGGCGGCCGCCGACAGAACAGGTGTGTGCTGGAGGTGCGGCAATTCAGGTCATGCGATGAAGGAGTGCCCGGAATCGGAGGACAGCTGTCTGGCGTGTGATCTCGCAGGACATCCGAAGACAGTTCACAGACACCAGGCACAGGAGGGTGCGCAGCCAGGAGGAAGGCGACCAGGCCGCCGACGACAGCGCAGCCCATGCATCGTAATTAATCCATTTGTTTGTTTGTTGTACTAATTTTGTATTAACTGTTTTTGTGATAGCCGGTGAGTGGGGGATTGGCCCACCACCGCTAATATGTTTGTTGTGTTTGAAATTTTTTCAATAATCGATGGTGGCTGGAGGTGAAGTAATGCTAACGCGGTTCCGCCTCCGGCAATCGATTCAACCGAAAAAAAAAAAAAAAAAGGTGATTATTTTATCACGAACCACTCTTTATTTGAAAAACTACTAACATATTGAATTTTTTTTACTTACATAATTATTAGTCATTAAAAACTAAAATATTTTTTCGAACTTTTTTATTGTTACATTTCTTATTTTTTTACCAAAGGTTTTTTTTTACTATTTTTAGTTAAAAAACTTAAAAAACTTAAATTAATGTTGTTATATTCTGTGGTTCAATCGAGTTTGAAGTGGAATTTAAATGTTTTGTCACCATTATGCTTTAACTTTAATTGTGCACAGCTATTCAATTTAAATATGAATTTGCATAAAATTAAAAAAAAATTAAAAATTAATAATAAAGATATTATAATAGGTACGTTTATCGATGTTTTTTTATGTACGTTTATAAGTTATAAAAAATAAAGATATTTATGCATAAGGATTCAGTTAGTTCAGACGTCCAAAGTAATAATTCTATAAACAATTCGGTAGAAGATAGTAAGGTTAGGTGGGGTAACAGCAACGCCGTTTTGCAAAATCTCAGTTTAATGGAACATATATCTTACTGTATTCTTACTAGGAACATTGTTTTTTTTCATATATTAATGAACGTATTAAGAATTCAAATTTGTATTCAAAAAAGTGTTTTGATAATTTTTTTGGTTGAAACTATTGAATGAAAAAAAAAAAAATGTTGCACTTTCCCTGCTACCGGGGTAAGAGCAAAATCGGCAATTTTTATACAGTTGTATACTAGCTATTCCTTAGCCGGGGCAAGTGCCATAAACTAATGAAAATCTGTAAACAAATTCCGTTGAGAGAATTTAATTATTTTAATTTATCAAGATTTGACAGACGATTAGTTTTTTTTTTAGTGTTGATTGTTATAATAACACGTATTAAAAGTGTAATTGTTAACTAATAGCATACTTAAAAATGTATAGGTACCTATTTGAAAACATACATATTTTAGTCACAAACAATTTTTATAAAATCTTTTTAAGTATTTAACAAAAAAATAAAATAAAACATAGATCTCTGAACAATACTCAGACTTTTGAGTTAGTTTATTAAATAATATAAAACAAATAAAATTATAAAATCTAAACAAATCTAAAAAAAATTGTATCTCTTAATTATAATCAGACTTTTGAGTTAAATAGTAAGCAAGTACTTACTTACTACGTTAAATAATTATTTTAAATTGAACTGACTAAAAGTTACCATGAATATTAATTCACCCCCTTTTCCCTCTTTAGGTAATGGGAGACGGCAACTTATATTATCGACTAAAACATTTTTATCAATATCCTCAATAACGGGATACACAAATATTGAGCTGTTTTTAAGTTCTTTTTTTAATTTCACAAATTTACTCAATAACAGATTTGTATCTGTCTTATCTTTAATAATGCCAACAAAGTGTTTGATTTTTTTTCCTTTGCTTCCAACAATATACTTCACCAATATCCAGTCACCTATGTTATCTACTGTACGATGCAAATAAGATTCTTCAGCCATTTCTTGTTCTTCTAGTTCTAAATCATCTAATAGGTTGCATTCATTGTCAGATAATATTAAATTCTGATCTTCATTATAGTTATCAATATTTATGTCTATTATATTTTGAATATCATCATCTATACCTCCCTCAGCACAAAGTTCTTTCTCAATTTTTTTTTGTAGTTTTATGTTTTGGGATGTTTTTTAAATTTGATTTTTCTTTTAAGATTTGTACTGCCTCTTCTGAAGTAATAACAGAAGCACCGCCTGTGATTTTTCGTTTTGTTTGTTTTTCAAATGTGGCTTGTTTCATTGAATTAAGTAAAAGTATTTCAAACAAATTATTACTGTTTCCAGTTGAATTTTCAGCACTTAAACATTCTGTAATATCAATATTAGTGTAGCTTGTAGGCCCTTCTGCTACATCAGTAGTTATATAATTTCTAGAAAGCTCTTCTGCAGTATCGATATTAACTGACGTAGTTGTATAACTTGTAGAATGCTCTTCTGCTGTAGATGTATAACTTGTAGAAGTCTCTTCTGCTGTTGTTGTATAACTTGTAGAAGGCAAGTCATGTAATAATATGTCTGATTGGCAATTTTCATCATATCTGGAAAGCTTCAGAGGGTCAAATTTGGAACGTTCTACAACAGTACGATTAAATGGATATATCCCAGATTTTCTAAATCCATTTTTTATAATTTGTGGATCAAGCTTTGTCCAAATATTACAAATTATTTTAGAAAGCTCTGACTTAGGCAATTTTTGTCCCTGGTGATTTCTACACCAAGAGCATAATATTTTATCCCATTCATTTTTTATAGATTTAAAAACAGCTAGGTCTAACGGCTGTAACAAATGGCTTGAATGTGGAGGAAGTAACATTATTGTTACATTATTTTTTATAGCAGTATCTATTAGTTTCAAATCCACGTGTGATGAATGCCCATCATAAATTAGAAGAACAGGATTTTCTGGAGTAGGATTTGTACTTTTAATGAAGCTTTTTTCAAAATAATTATAAAAAACTTCTTTTTCCATCCACCCATTTGTGGTAGCTGCATATGTAGCAGGAAAGTACCAGGAAAGAAAGATGTTTCTCCTACCCATTTATCCCATACACTTTTGCCTTTAAATATAATAAGCGGTGGACCTTTTTGACCACTTGCACTACATGCCATTAGCACTGAAGTGTTATCTCTACCTGAGCCATGTGTAGTACGTGTAGTAGATATCCCTATCCCACCAACAATTTTAGTTTTTGATGGGTCATGACAAAAAGACGTTTCATCCAAGTTCCATACTCTATCCGGTCTGTGTATAAGATTTAATTCAACTAATGTTTTCCATAGTAAATCAAAATACCCATAAATTATGAATGGATCACATGCTTTTTTCTTCGAATGTTCAACAATTTGAGGCTTTTTGATACTAAGTTGTTGCCTTTTAGAAAACCCAAGCCACTAATCTTCATCAGGATATCCATTACGAAAAGGAGTTTTAATATTACAACTAGTTACATAATTTCCTACTAAATTCAATACCTCTTTGCGACTCAGTCCATAACCGTATTTGTTCATTACTTTCAGTAAACCAGCCAACTTGGATTCTGTAGCAGTTCCCAATGCTGTTGGACGCCCCATTGATTCCGACTTCATACCACGTCTTCCCTTAATATGATCATACAGGGTAGGTCGAGGTATTACATATTTTTCAGATGAAGCATTTACTGTGATTGATCCACTCTTTATCTGCTCGACCACATACAATAAATTTTCTTTTGAATAAGTAGCTCCTCTATCACTTTATCGTACGTAGTTTCGAACTATTTTCATTTAAAACCTAAATAATTAAAAAAAAACACATTGAATTCAAAATAAATATGAACGGGTCAAGTGCGACAATGCATGTCGCATTTTCCAAATTAATCTTGTCGCACATTCCCCGTGTAAAGTTTTGTACGTGGGAAGTGCATAATCAGCTAATACTCATTTGTATCAAATAATTAGCATAATTTGTGTATGAAATAATGTTACAAACATAAAATAACATTTACTTACCTAATTTTAAATAATTCTGAGCAATTTTGGTGGTGTAACTGGTCCGCTGAATTATTGTCGATTCAAAAAAATACGAGTAAATAACTGATTACCTCTTCGGATAGTGATAACTGCTGTGTTTGATATCTCACAGTGTAGCCAACATAACACAACATTCTAATATTTCTAAACTCCGTAGTTTTAATGAAATAAACTTTAAAATTGAAATATTAAATTTTTTATAACCGAATTAGGCACTAGCCCCGTTAGGCTCTTACCCCACCTGACCTTACGACTAAGGAAATAAGTGTACAGTTAGTCGAAAAGCAAAATAAGACAGTAGAAAATATAGAATCAATAAAAAAGGAATTATTAATCGATTTAAATATATCGAAGATAGTTGATTGTTCACAACATTTTAATAGGGAAGAATACCTAAGAGCAATTAGGGAAAAAGAATCATTAAATAAAACTCTTACACATAAACAGACGAAAACAGTTATGGAGAACGGGTTCAAGGTCTGATCCAGACCTATTTTTTTTTAAACAATTTTTGTACAAAAAGTTCTAACGCCCAACGCTGAAATAGTGACTATATAGTGCATGCGCTTGCCAGGGCGCTCAGCTATTTCTTGTCCATTACGGTCACAATGTCACATACACTAATGATCACTTACTACGCACATATTTACAAAACCTGCATGCATGCAATTTGAAAATTGTCTATTTTTAACTTTATAAAAACTGTCCACCACCAATCCGCTTAATGTAATTTTAACAATGTTTATTGCATAATCAAACGGGCGAATGTAAGTTCCCACACGAGATATAGCAGGTAAAAATTACCTCTGGATATCCATACGTAAGTTCCCACACGAAAAAAATTACACTTGTACGTAAGTTCCCACACGAAATTTCAGACACATAATAATTTTTATATACATTGCTTATAATTTTAACTTTTAATTCGTTAATGCTCAGCCTTGCCAAACACAAACTTCCTTCCCACTTTATTCAGACTTAGGACTGACAACTTAAACGTAGTTGGTGTGGTTAAAATTTGTTTTGTTTTTGTACTGCATAAAAAAAAGTCCAATTGAATCTAGTCCGTATAATATATAATAAAAATTAATAATATAATGTGTATAATATTTGTATATGTATAAAATAAAAATAATAATAGAAAAAATCAAATTTTATTAGGTTTATTGCGATAGCTCAAACACTATATTGTAAAGTGTTATTAGATCAAACAAAATGTGATTTTTTCTATTATTATTATTTATTTTATACCTATACAAATAATGTGTGGAAGAAGAAAAACAAAATAAAATATCAGATTGACTATGTGAGTATTTGACTATGTGAAGTGTTTGAGCTTTCGAAATAAACCAAATAAAATTTGATTTTTTTCTATTATTATTATTATTTTATACCTAAACAAATTTCGTTTAAGTTGTCATTCCTAAGTCTTAATAACTTAACTTACGTACAGTTGTAATTTTTTCCGTGTGGGAACTTACGTACGGGCGTATTTTTTTCGTGTTGGAACTTACATATGTACTCGCTTACCTGCTATGTTTCGTGTGGGAACTTACCAAACCCCAATCAAACTACTATAATAATTAAACACTTATTGGGTATCGTCATTTACTCTAATTGTAATCGCTTGAGCAGATATTCGACTATTCCTTATGAGTTGTTATTAATCTAGTTCATTAATATAAATTAATAACTAAATTATGATAATAATTATCAGGTATAATAATACTTTACTATCACCATTTAAGAATATTAATTATTATTAGGTATGTTCGATAAAAAAAATTTTTTATAATTTTTATAATACATTGTAAACCAGTTTCATCCATACGATATAAAGTATGATAATTGGAAAACTAGATCTTCAAATGAAGGGTATACGCCAAGTTTAGATACAATCGACAGTATGTTAACAGTATTAATTCAATACAATCATCCAAAATATCCGATACAAGCATTAACTCCGAAAACACGAGGTCCACCTGCTACATTTTTAATGCTGGCTCCTGCAAGACATGGCCACGGCCCTAGAAATCTAAGCGTTCATCGTCGACCCAACAATTATGGCGAATGCACTAATGAAACGGTATATTATCTATATTGTATTATTAGTCATAAACTATAAAACAAATTTTTACAGTATCAGATGCCTTCCACCAGTGTGAATAAATGTGAAAATTTGATATGTACAAACACAAGCCCACATCAAAACGAAAATGAGTGTGTTTTAAAAACACCCGATCCACAGCCGGTAACTTCTTTGGTTGACGGTTCATCTTATAGTACAAAAATAACACAACCAGAAAACAAAGATGACTGTGATTTTGTGACACCTCGACGTAGAAAACTAGATAATGAACAAATCACGTATCAGGCTTTAATGGCACAAAATAACCCAGGTCCATCCACATGTTTTCATGAGCCTGAAGTACATTATATTATCTATATTGTATTATTAATTATGAACTATAAAACAAATTTTTACAGCATCAGATGCTTTCCACCAGTGTGGATAACTGTGAAGAATTGATATGTACAAACACAAGCCCACATCAAAACGAAAATGAGTGTGTTTTAAAAACACCCGTTCAAATAAAATCAACAATTAAATTATTTCAAAATGGTTCGGTACAATGCCGACGGTCTTGTCGGAGGACACGGCGCCAACCAAACCGCCGTCACCGTCTGTGAAGTCAATCAGCGACGAGGCGAACGTCGAAGTAAGTTTCGCGCCCGATTTAGTTATAAACTTCGAGCCGTTGATGATCGACGGGAACGAATCGCTTCGGGTTGACGCCTTTCCCGCAGACGGACGACGTGAGTATTATAAATATCACATCTCTATCATCAAGACGTCACTAAACTATTGATTTTTATTTTCAGGCCCAAAACCGATGTTTGTAGACAGGGTATATACCCCGTCACCGCCACTGCCACCGCCAACGGCCGTTGGTAACCCATACGAGTTTGACGAGGAACCTGAAACCGATACGTTCCACTCTCGAATACTCGTATCCGGAGACGCGTTTTTTCTCACAACTTTTGTCTCGTTTCAGATCTCGTCTTGAGGCCCCCTAGAGAACAGTACAATATGCACGCCTCACCTGATTCGCCCGTCACAACCACTGGTGATCACGTCCCCCCTGAGGATGGACGGCGGGTGGCACGACGACGACGAGTTGGCTGGCAGGCCAAAACGTCGGACCTGTGCCGAAGCGCTGACGATGAACTTGGAGACTCTGGTAAATTTATTGGACGACTCGCGTCATCGTCAGGTCTGTTAATCGTTTTCCTTCGTGCCGTAGATGGTGAAGTATTGTCCAGTTTGCCCATTTATAACCAGCAGCAACAAATTGAGCAGACACATACTCAACAAACATCCAGAGTCTCCGAGGAAGCCGAAGAAGGTCCACTTGAAATCCATAGTTCAAAAAATCACGGCTGCGTCGAGAAAATTGTATTCGGTCGTCCCGATGTCGGCCATCAAGCAGACGCTCGGGGCGTATTGGGATGACAGAAACTACCGGAGCATCGCCCACAAGTGAGTTGTGTAAAACCCTAATGAGTCGGTCGACCATTTCGATTAATATCATTTTTGTTTCCGTTTCAGACTCACGGTCATGTTAAGGATGAAGGTGTATGGCGGGTCGTGGGACCTTCCCGGCGTCACAGTAGCACCACATCCTTTCGCGGACGACCTCGTCCAAGTGGAAGACGATGCTCCCGAAGCGTTCTTCCCGACGCTCCCGATGTCGGACTATAGATGGCCAGCCAATTCGGCGCCCAAAGCTCCGCACGCCTTGATGGGAATGTCCTCCGCTCCCGCAGCCGCCTCTTCCTCCCTCTCCGCCGCCACCGCCCTCGCCACCACCTCTGCCACCCCCGACACCATTCAGGCCACCCCCAAGGTGTCCGTACTATTTATAGTATTGTTGAATCATTGATGAATTATACTATAATTACAATGGTGTATGTTTTTTTTTTTTTCTCTGTTCCGCGCGGTGAACCGTATTTTTGACCAAGCATAACTTAGAATAATTAGAATAAAAAAATTACAAATTATATTAACTTCTTATTTATTTAATAGACAATAGCTTTATAGCGGCAGTCCCCGAGTGCCACTTGTTTTTTTTTTTTTTTTTTTTGTGTCAATATTATGCTATTATCGGTGGAGTTTTGTAATATACAAGGGGTTGCTTTACCTACGTCGGTTTTTTTTTAATAATTTTTCAAAGTTATAGTTTAGCATAGGTAGGCTAGTGGTGGAAAGTAATATTTATTTATTTAATTATCGAATCACACATGATTCTTGATATTTATCACAGTGACATTGCAGTTACGATTAACGGCAAAACAGAATTGTTACAAATGGTTGTGGGGGGGGGTTTGAGCAAATTTATGCCGGTACAGTAGTGTCGTAGACACTTGGGAATTATATTAAAAATATGTAGTCGAATTTCGACGTTCGTAGTAAATCTGTAAATAAAGTGTCTAAGACGGCCGTCCGGCAGGCGAGTGTGGTATTTACCGCTGGGTTTAAATTCAAAACTCATTTTTTGAACTTTATGTCATGGTCATCGTAATTCTTAGTTGTTAACTATGTGACTGTTACACCGAGTAGCCGACGTGTATACCAATCGATAGATATGCTACTTATAAAAGTTGGTACACGAATTGTATTTTTGGAGACTGTTCAAAGTGGAAATACTGTACCGGTATAAATGTGCTCAATACCCCCGACTGCAACCATACCACTTGCAGACCTCTAAGTCTAAGAGTCGACTTAATACGAACGTCATTTTAAATTCAAATTTGGACAAAATTACATATTTAAACCAAGAATCACTATTTTTTTATAGTTTTTGAAAACACTCCGATAGAAATGAACTATGCGGTTACGGAAAAAAAATACAATTTCCTAATGATAAACTGCCCATTTTGCGAAAAGTCGTTTATTTACGAGTCATCGCTAATATTGCATATGAAAACGCATTGCCAAACATCAACAGTGTCATTAAATAAAAGAAAACATTTGACAAATGAGGTATAAATGTTTTATTTTTTTAACAGCATTGGTGTTTTGTTATTTTTTTGACGTAAATCTTACCAGTAAATAAATCTTATAGAACATGATTAAGCTGATCGCAGCGCCAATACCGAAATGTTGGGTAACACATAGTAGCGAATCACTATTGTGGTTCGGGAAAAGTTTCGACTGCAGGGTCGATAGTGTTGAAAAGCTTAATTCTTTTATCATGAACAACCTTGCTGACATTCAATTCCACGTATACGCTAACACTGAAGTAGGTAACAACTCTAAAAAATATAACACAAATGTAATGGTTAAAAAAAAAATTTATATATACAATATATTATATACAATAATACATTTTTTACAGGCGCCATCAAGGTATACAAATATAAGAAAGGCAATCGATTACATAATGGTGGAGAATGAGGAAGAAACAATTTTAGGGGGGGGGGATTTATAGCGTAAAAATCTTTAGCTTCAAAATTCGTAAATAAAACTGTCAGCAAAAAATCGGGGAAAAAATGTATTTCAAAACAAATTAAATCAACAATTAAATTATTTCAAAATGGTTCGGTACAATGTCACTCAAAATTTATTTCTTTACAAAAATCGTTAGCAATTAATCTGGAAACTTCATATTTAGACCCATTTTTTAAAAACTTTTTTCAACCTCAGCCTCCTCCCCTATGTAATCACTCATCTAAGTTAGATATGAGTACTAAAAAAAACAAAATTCATCACATCATTTTTGAACACTATTTGCAAATAAACATGATGAGTTTTTTGTTGGTTTCTATGGTGCGTTTGGACTGAATCATGTAACACCTAGAACCTTAAGAAGCAAGTTTTTAGGCGGTTTAGTTTGTTTGGATGGTGTTGTAACAATGAGGTTGGATATAAAGTCAGTGTTAGTGAAAAGTGTCCACTATTGTCCGGCAACTAGAAAAATGTACGAGCATATACATACTGACTTTTTATCAACCTCATATAGCTTTGATTCTGCTACTTCGAATTGCAATTACCCGACAAGAGATAATGAGGGCAATCTCTTGGAGACTGAGTTTGGGCTCTCAGTGTTTAAAGATCGGCAGACCTTAAGGATTCAAGAATCCGCTGAAAAAAGCCCAACCAGGCAAGCTGCCCGGTTTGTTGATGTGATAGTTGAGCATGATTTGGTGGATATGTGTAAACCGGGTGACAGGGTAATGGTTGTTGATAATTATCGTACTTTTCTTCCACATACGTATATACGTACATACGAATACACATATATATTTATATTGTATATGTACGTCCGTATGTTAGTACCTATGTTACATTTTTTATTAAACATAATTATGTATAAAACTTTAAGGCCTAGATATTTTTAATTTTTAAATAATTATTCTAAATATAATTAAACGTGTGTACAATTTACCCAAATTTTACTTTATTTTTAAAAATATTATTTAACGATATAATTTACGTATTATTATATCAAATACTTTAAACAAACATTAAAACTATTTTGTACATTTCTAAGATTCCTCAAAACACGGAAGAGTGGAAAATTATCGAGAAAGATTGGCCAAGTACACCAGTCGTGGGAATGCGGCTTAATAATAACAATATAGGCCTACCGAACCACAGATAGGGCAAATGTAAGCTGGGCCCGAGGTTACCTTTTTTGTTGTAAACTCGTCCCAGAAATTTAAAATAATAAAAAATGTAAACTCTGCCAGATAATTATTTTGACCAATATAATATAATAAGCACGATATAATACTTTAATCTAAAAATATTAAACAACGTATCTATATTCAGATATTCTATATCTTATCGGAACAATTTGTTGTCAAACACATGGCTTTTTACTTAAAAAAATAGATTTAAATAACTATACATTATTAATTATTACGGTACAGTTTTACTTGTATTTTTACAATTTTATACACAATTTTACATGGATACATTTTACTTATATTTTTTAATACTGAAACACATTACTTACATTTTTACTCAATTTTAGTTTATTTTACATTTATATAACGAACTTCATACTCTGAATAAAAATAAGAAAATATAAATAAGTTTTGGAGTTTACAATAGACCTTTTGAAGTTTTTTTTTCCTCAGGCCGAGTTTACAATCGCCCCACAGTTAGGTACTTGAGGTAGCGATTAACGATAGCATACAGATGGACGACGGTACTAAAAAGTTATTATAGGTATTATATATGTATAGCAATTAAAATATTTAAATTTTTCATAATATAGTAAACTATTAATAGTGTCATCCTCAGATCCTCTGTAATTACCTATTTAGAAATCAAATTAATACTGCAGACTGCAAGTAGGTATTCATTGTAATAGTTATAACAGTATAACAAATAATACATTTAGTATTGTATAGGGAACATCATTTATTTATTTAAAACGGATTCTATTTGAATAATAATAACAATGATAATAATAGATCGCCAGGACTCGGGACCGTGCCTTGCTAGAAAGAATAATTCAATTTAAAAATATAATTAATATTATATTATATTATAATATACAATAAGCGATGATCGACGGCCGAAAATCGGGGGAAATAATTCAAAAATAGCTAGATAAACCACAAAATAGTCAATACATGCATGGGGAGTTTGTCAAAATTAAATGCGATCGTTGGCCGCTATTAATAAATATTATATTATTATGCCACCGCCGCCGCGTAGGCGTTGAGGTGAGCCTTGCCTGGACAACATTCATTTTGCAATTTGGTCTCGACGACTCGACAACTCTGGTCTCTGAAAAGTGAAAGTCTGAACACTCAAAAGTCGTAAGTAAAATGTTGAATATTATTAAAACTATTTTATTAATACTCTAGTATAATATGATATATTTAATATTTTACGAATCTTTATACACCGATTAAATTTTAAATAAATATAATGATTGTACCTATTCAATTTTTTAATACGTTTTAATATTTAAAAGAATACAATTTGACGAAATACATTTTTTTTTAATTAAAATATTTCTTTAGCATTCAATAATATTTGTTGTTGCTTCGAGATTTCTTCAATGCATAGGACGTGTTGTATTTTAAATCTGTGTTACATCAAATTACTTTAATTATTCATTTTAGTTTTTGAAATTGTTTAACATTAGTTCACCAGTATTGTTATATTATTACGAACAACAATTTTGTTTATTATGATTGATTTAATTCTGTATACAATTCTGTAGTATTAATTCTGTACAATCTAAAAGTAACAGTTAATTTTCCTTGGTTAATATAAATTCAAATTTATTACATAATGTAATTGAAACAACAATGAATTTAGTTTATCTCCTTCCATACTTGCTCTCAAATAATTGTTTACACGTTTTAACGTAGAAAAAACCTCTCGGCTGAACAATTAGTTATTGCCATACATTATACATAATAGCATACGTAGAGCAACATCTACGTTAGGAAAAACTGTATCTAAATTATCGTAAGTGTATTGATAATTCGATAACTCCATCAATACTTGTATTAATACTTTGAAGATATACTATCTATTTTTGGGATTTTTTGCACTAAGTTATTTAATTGATTTTTTTTTTCTTCCGCGATTTTTTTATACTTATAGCCACTTAAACGTGATCGACCGTCACTCATTTTACTATAGTTTTATTAAAAATTTTACAAATAAAAATTTTAAAAATCAAATATTCTATAATACTATAGAACATCCCACACTATGAGCTCGTTCGCGATTGCATTGACTAATGATTGGGGTTTTTTTTTATTGTGATTATGTACAGATAAACATACAATCGTCAGCCCATGTTATATAAATAACTTATTTTAAATATAAATATTACCACAATCCCGTTGGCATAAAAACATTTTATAATTAGTTGCATTTATTTTAGTAAAAATGTAATATTAAAAATTA